ATATATATATATACATATATATATACTAACACTAATATTACAAGAGAAGGATACCGAAAATTGCAGGGTATTATTATCACTGCATTAAAATATATAACTAAATTTCAAGAACCTATAGACGAATTATGAACATATTTTTAAAATACAAAATCGCTCGTAGCCTACTTTACTCGTGAATTAACCTTTACTTGAGAGCACAGTTAATGTACAAAAATTCGTTTATTCCATTGACTGCCCCGCCGCACCCTTTGATAGTGATTGATGCACGTCGTAGATTCGGCGCCTCCCCTCCTACTGTATGTCCCGGCGTTCATCAATGAGGCGGAAGAAGACTTCCTCCTCAAATGCATAGATTCGGTTCCCTCTCACTCCTGGACTATATTAAACAACAGGAGGCTGCAGAGCTTGGGTGGTACCCCCCACCCTAAAGGCATGATCCGGGAAAAAATACCAAAAGTAGGGTAACGCGTCTGACATACAAGTTTCTTGACTTTTTAATCGACAGATTGAGCGTTTCTGGAGTTTTTGGAGCCAATACCCCTAATCATGTGCTTATTAATGAATATCTCCCCGGGCAAGGCATTTTAGTAAGTCACGGCAGTCACTTTGTTATCGATACCGGTAGCCGCACCATGACGGACCCCTTTACCTTCCCGTTGTTGCCACCGTTAATATAGCGTCTCACAGTGTTCTCGATTTCTACTCCCCGCTTTCAGAAACTGCTAGACAGGTAAACATCTTAACATTTGGCCTGACTCCTATTACGTTCATTTTATTTACCCAATCCCGTTCTTTCCAGGATCCCGGCGAGACGTCCTGGGCCAAGAGGTACATTGGATCGGCATTTCTCGAACGGCGAAGTGCCAATATCCTGTCCGAGTCACTATACACTTATTATATGCACGGAATCGAATCTCGGGCCATTGACATTTTTCATCACATGAGCAATTCCTTTATCAAAAAATTTAATAAGGAGCTGAAAGGGGAAGAAAACAGACCGGCATTCAATAGAAACTTGTGTAACCAACTAGCTTGTCCTTATGGTGACGCTGAATTTCCACGTGGAAGACGGATTTCTATCACGATCAGACATGTAACAAAGACCTGCAAGATCAAAGCCAACTCAATTTT